GCTCCCTCAATTGATGAGGAAGGGGAGGAAAAGGTACTACTGGGAGTACCATCAACTCAGCTGGTGCCCAATGGAGCCTCATTATATCTGGACAAGAGACTAACTCCAATCTCTGTCTCTTCTCCTGATGAGAAGACAAGACACCCCACGCCAAGATCCATCCTCCAAACACAGGAACCCTCCTGGACCGCCCTTCCCATCCATGAGGCCATCCTGCAGCCGGTCTGACATGCTCCAGTGCTCCTTCCCCAAACAGGGAGAGGGGCAATACTCCATCCCTTTGAAGGGTGCCTTGATTGGTGCACATCTGGACTTCATCACAGTCTGAGCTTTCCTCCCAGTGGATCACTTTGTGACCTTATGCATCGACCCGCTCACCTTCATCTGCCAATGGTCTTTCCATCCTGTGCCGCCGGACGGCTTGCACTCCATGAAGCCCCCTGCCCATGTTCACCAGCTTTTGCTTTCAGATGTGGCCCCTGTTTATCTGGACTGCTTGGTGAAGCCCATCCTGCTCTCCTGGATTATTCTGGCCTCCCTCACAGGGGGTACCAACCCATTTGGTTGGTAGCCCCTTTACTCCTCCCATTCTCAACACGGACGCCGTCCTCGGTTGAGACTCCTATCTAAATGGTGACGCGATCCCAGGCATCTGGCTCCCATGGGAAGCCAGGATTCACATTAACGTCCTGGAGTTGATGGCTCCCCGTCTCCCCTGCTGGGCTTTCCTCCCCCTCCTACACTTCCTTGGCATTCAGCTGTTCTGCAACAACATGGCAGCAATAGTCTGTGGGTGCTCGCAACTCCCACAAGTGCAGTAGGTCCTGCTGACATGGAAATGCGCCATCTCACACTCCACTCTGACCTTCCGAGGCGGGGAAGCCCCCACGAGGACCTTTTCACAACCAGCAAGAACCACAAAGTCCCCCCTTTATTGTTCTAGGGGAACCAAGGTGGTGGACTTAGGGTGCAAAGTCTTCCTGCTTCCCTGGACCAGGAACTGCCATCATTAACATTTCACCCTTTCTCCACCGCCTGGAAGTCCTGTGCAAGATTGGCCATACTGACAGCCCCCTTTTGGCCTCGCCAATATTGGTTCACAGACCTTCTCTGCCCTTCCACTTGTCCTTGCCTTTGCGCACACCTCTCTCTTCTCACACAGATGCAGGGCAGCCTCTGGCACCTCAGCTAAGTCCACCTCATGGCTTGGATAGAGCTCTCACACAGACAGGGTACACTCCACCCTGGTGTGTGATGCCCCAGTGCACGGCAGGTGTTTGTCTACCAGGGCCAAAAGGAAATGATTCACTGGCTGACTTCATGGCCACCATTATCCACGGGACTCTCTATCCATTCCTATCCAGCTCAAAATGTTGGCCCTTCCCCAGAACTCCACTGAGGTCCACCTGATGGTGTCCAGTCCCTTCTTCCCCACAATGGATAGTATCTCTGTTGTCACACACGCAACCATTTTCTTCCTCAAAGGCTGTCTAGAGACTGCAGGCTTCTTTCGGAAGAAGCTTTTCCAGAAGAGATCTTCTGAAAATTCTTATGAAAGTGAGTGTTCACACTGCCAAAGCGCATCAAAAAAGCGATCTGCTTTTTCGAAACATAGCATCCACACAGAATGGATTACTATGATTACTATGGACGGAATGGCCACAAGAGCACCTGTGATTTTTCCTCTTTTCAAAAAAACAGAAAAACCAGCCAACCAAACACTCCCTCTTCCCTGTCCACACGTGCCTTTTTCTGAAAGAGCTCTTTTGGAAAAGGCATTGTCTCTTGTAGAATGAGATTTACCAATGTTGGAAAAACCCGTGTTCTTTCGATTTTTCCCCCCCGAAAGAATGCGATTGCAGTTTGGACATAATTGAAGGTTTTTCTGGAAAAAAAAAAAAAAAAAAAACCTCTGTAGTATAGACATACCCAAAGATCTGTTCAGAGCCTTTCCATTGGTGATCAAATCTACCTCTTGGGACATTAATATTGCTCTCTGTCCTCACCAGGTCACTCTTCAAACCCTTCGCCATGTGCTCTTTCTTCCATCTTTCAGCGAACGCAATCTTCTTGATGGCCATCACATCGGCACGACAAATTAGCAAACTACTGGCCGTGATGGTTGACACCCTGCCCCCTGAATCTTCTACAAGGACAAGGCCTCCTTACACCTGTACCCAAATTCATTCCTAAGGTGATGCCTGCATTCCACCTCATCCAGTGTATCTACCTCTTACTCTTCTATCATGAATCTCTCACCTCCCACAGGCACCAGACCACTGCCCTTTCCTGACATCCAACACGCATGGGCTTTCTGCCTCTAGTGCAACCATGACTTCTAGGTTTCGCCCAAACTCTGTTGCCCTTGCTGAATGTTGCAAGTGACCATCCCTTTTCGCGCAGCCCATCTCCAAATAGACCTCACTGCATTGGCAAATACTACACTAATATACCTCCACTACTTAGCGGTGCTGCTCACTTCATATGGATGAAGGTTGGGGACATTTGCTGGGCGGCCGTGTGGAGCTCCAACCTTCCATTCACGTCTCACTATGGCTTGGCCTCAATAGTAGCTCCTGATGCAGCCATAGGCGGAGCCGTACCGCAGACTGTGACTTCTCGCAAGTCCTCACGCTCCATACTGATCATTGCTTGCCGTGCAGCCACGTTTGGATCCATAGGGATTAGGGGCCATCACTTGAAGAGGAAGACGACTCCACACCTGTAATTGGAGGTTCTTTGAGATGTGTGATCTCTATTTGGATTCCAGTACCTTTCTCCCTCCCCTCTGCTGCTGCCTACACTGCCTGGAATGCTTCTTATAGCCTCGGCTCCAGTTGTGAGAACAACATACGTGTGTCAGTGCATGCCGCTGTGCATCATTCGGGTGCCTGGGATTCATGTCTGCCTTTGGAATACAAATAGGGACCAAGCATCTTGAAGAACCTCCAGATGCAGGTAAGTAACCTCTTTTCAGCCTGCAGTCTGCAGGTTACTGGGGAGTCTGCAGGTTATGTCTAAAGCCTTGTCTCCACTAACCCCAACCGTCAATCAGCTCTACATGACATCAGCTATGCTATTTGCATAGCTGCAGTCAGTGTACTCACCATGGTGTCTTGTGTGCAGTAAGGCCAGCGGCGCTTGTGCTCTCATCGACACCGGCTACTCTTCTCACCCTGCTGGAGTACCCACCTTGACAGGAGCGGGTGCAGAGATCAATTTATTGCAGGCCCAGATGCAGGAGGGG